GGCCGAATATTAATTATCGAACAAATAGAATGTTTATGAGCATGGAACCCGAAATTAAGATCAATGCAGCGAGTATCTGAGCATAGCTGTGTGAGATATCCGTCAATGGGTTGGTTATATCGAAGTAAGCATGTATAAGTCCATTGGCTCGACCACTGCCCGCTGCCCAGTTGCTAATTTTGCCCTGTTTTCCGATTTCGACGCGTTCGCGTTTCTACTTTACGCGTGCCATCGAGCCTCTTTTAGAGTGCTGGGGCTGCCGGAAGAGCTAGCCTGATTTGTCTTAAAGCCTATAGATTCGGATCATGGGTTGATCCGGTATAACCGTCGTTCCGCACTTCATCTGCCCATGTTGACGAAGTCATACGCTTGTGGAATATTCTCTTAGTCGAGCGAGAATTATAATTTTAGAAGATGGCTGACGATACCCGGGACCCTACCTCACATATTCCGGTCGCGCACACAAACGAACAGACAGCCTCGGAAGACTCTTCATCGTCACGAAAAAAGACAAAGTACGAGCTGCCAAAGTCGCAGGTCGGAAAGTTATGGGAGGCGTTTGGCAATCCAGAAGAATCGGCAAACGTATTGTCAAATACAGGCTACAATGGGGCGAAGAAGGATGCGAACGACGTCTCGGTCACCGAAGCCGTGAAATCAATGTCTTTGAAAGAAGTCACATCATTCTATAAAGCTCCATGCGCTCGGGATTCACTATTGCTAGGGATCGGTGCCGGATTCGGTATCGGTGGGTTGAGAGGTGTATTAGGGGGTAAGCTGGGGTCTTTACAGTGAAGCGAACCAACAGACGAGTCTCATAACTAACTGTGGCTTGTTCTTAGGCCTGCGCTCAATATGGACTGCCTGCAACTGGGCCGTTGGAGCGTTCGCTATCACTTCCCTCGCAGCTCACGAATTCTGCCAGCGCCGACGAGTCCAGGAGTTGGACGGCATGAAGCAAGCAGTGGAATTGATGAAGGAACTGAAGCTCAAGAAACAACGAGAGAAGGAGAAGCAGATGGCGGAAGAGGCTGCCCGCTTAGCCGAAGAAGAGAAGAAAAGGAAGAGTTGGACGAACCTATCAAATTATAAGTTCTGGTAGACATATGGCGCGGCACAATGTTGGGAGTCACGGAGTTTCTGGGATGTCACTAGTGGTGTAATGTAAAATAGCATATAAAGTACGGAGTACATATTTCTAGAACAGCGATTTCCAGCGTTGCGGTCATTCGAATGGCAAACCAATATGATCAGTCCAAAAGATATGCATCATCGCTTATTCAACTCCATTCGCCAGCCAAAATGAGGAGAAATGAGAGAAAGCCAAAATGAGGAGAAATGAGAGAAAGCCAAAACGCCAGTCCAGCTAAATGCAGTTTTGAAGCGAATAATGTCAGAGATTGAATTTGACCCTCTTCTGAATTGTGCCACTCTGGATCGAGCGAAGTTTATCAAATTCATGACCGTCACGTCTTTCTCTTCGCTTTTCGCGCGCTTCTCTTGCTTCTCGAGATTTCCATTCAGCCACCTGCTTTTGTCGTTTTTGCGCTCTGGCCCAAGCGATTGCTGCAGTAGGCTTGAAACCGATGCCGTTGATGCCATATCCGTCATCATTTGGATCTTTGGGGTCGTGACCAGTTATTTCAGAATCATTCCATGTAAGTGGGTTGTCCTCCATTGTGCTGTCAGGAGACGGCGAACCCTGCTTATGACGCATCCTTGATGTGTCATTCGAGGTGCCTTTTCTCTTACGGGGGCTCGACAGCGACTTTTTCTTGACGGTTGAAGCTGAAGTTGAAGCCGATGCAGCAGAATTTGAATTACCAAGATGGCCATTCCCTTCCGAAGACCCATTGAAGCCAAAATCGCTGGGTTTAGTAGAAGTATTCTGAGCCATGTCATGAAGACCGTTGTATGAGTCAACCCAGCATTTCGTGCGAAGTGAGTCTACGAATGGGTCCTTGTACAGACTTGCATCCGAATTAGACAGACTTGAATTATTTTCACTGTGAATAGCCAGCGCTCCTAGGCGACCGGCAACTGCGGCTCGAGGGCTGTGCCTCCCTAGATCCTCTTCCTCCAGGAGTCTCGCTTCCTGATGGCTCGCAATCGAGGCTGGTGAGAAGTGGGAAGCGGGTGGGCTGTCGCAGCCTGAGTCCGACGATTCTCGCTTGCGGTTAGGGGAGCCGATTAACATCGTCGGCCGACTCGGGAGCATTATTATCGCGGGGCTGATCTGAGAGCGGAAGTGGGGCATTCCTTTGCTGAGGTAGGTAGCAGCCAGAAACCCTTCATAACAGGTCCAAAGCAACCCTCCAACCCTCTGGCTTCTTCGGCCTGTCTATGTGACTGTTGAAGAAGAAGGGTCAGGTGAAGCCATCCTTTGTATCACTGAGGGGAACATGGGGGCTTGGACCGGCATGATGTCTGATGGAAGGGGGAAAGGCGAGGGGAGGTTCATCATTGGACGGAAGTTAAATCTAGATTGCCTTACTAAGGGAGATATAAGATACCTTATGGTAAGGTAGGCATGCTTTATCTATTCCTCAGTCACAAGTCACTAATACTCCACTGGTTCGAAGCAGAAACTGGTTGTGTATTTACTGACAAGCCGTTAGATAATAATGATCATTACGGTATGCTGAGTTCATGACTTGGAAGGTATTCATCTCTCAAAGGTCGCTTCAAGCAGATGAAGTTTGTAATACGAGGTCAAGAGGTTCAAGTGATAATTATTGAATTTATTTGAGTACATTTTAGGCATAATTGCTTCGATCTTGCAAGCATGACATGTCTCTTGTAGCCCTTTACACGTAATATCTGCATTACTCATCCATGCCACCAGGCCCACCTTGTTTGCTCATTTGTCTGGCCTTGAGCAGTTCGTCACACAGGAGTAGGTTAGAGGCTATACCAGTGCTCGATGCGATGCAGTTACGCAAGACCCGGTAGGAATCGAAGACACCCTCCTGCACTGGATCCATGGGCTCTCCCGTCGTCAAATCTAACCCGACTACATTACCTTCTGCACGCTCATCTTGCAGAGCAGCCAGGGAATCCTGGATGTCGTGGCCTGAATTGCCAGCCAGTGTCTTGGGAATAACCAGAAGGGCATCAGCAAAAGCAGCAACACCCCACTTGGCTTTGCCCTTGACAGACTTCCGAACACCTTCGGATGACAGGTGATGAGCGCAAGCGACTTGGTAAGCCCCAGCACCAGGAACAACGCAGCCATCGACGATGGTGTTGTAGACAGACCGTAAGCCGTCGCGGACTGCATCCTTGACCTGAGCGATGGTGTGTTGGTTGGGACCCTTGATGAGGATGGTAACAGACTTGGGGTCCTTGACCTCTTCGACAAATGTGTACTTCTCTTCTCCGAGCTGGTGTTCGTAAACCAGGCCAGCCCATCCGAGAACCTCAGGAGTAAGGTCTTCCACACTGTTCTGAGCAACACCACCGCAAATCAGCTGGAGTCGTTCCATGTTTCTCCGCTTAGCTCTCCGGAGGGCCAGAATTCCGTTCTTGACGAGGACATCCAGGCTCAGAGGATCAATACCCTTTTGATTGATCACGACAAACCCTTTCTTGGGATCAGTACCGCAAACCTGCTTCTTCAGCTCCACGATCTTTTGCAGCTTAGCGTCCACGAATTTGCGCTCGCTCTCGACCAGCTTGTCCCTTTGCTCGGCCGAGGAGTAGTAGAAACCAGAGTTGATTTCCGACTTCTCATATTCCAAACTGACGTTCAGAGTCAGGATGAACGCATTCTCAACCCTCTTAGGCATATCAGGGTGTCTTGCACCGTGGTCTAAAGCGAGACCACGGATGAGCTGTGTGTCGGACGCCGTCCGGTGCTGCATGGTCATGATCTCAACCATGTGCAAATCGGGTTTCTCAGGAGCTCTGTGAATGGCAAGGACTGCATCGACGACATCCGGTGTAAGCTTTTCAGCAAGGGCGCTGTTCAGTTTCGTGGCAAGCGACGTCCGAGCAACAGAGAGCAACAATTCACGGTCAATGTTGCGCTCAATCTTAAACTGGTCGAGGAACTATACAGCCAACATTTCAGTCTCTTGTCGGACGAATTTAAGGTATTTCTATTCAATACCGACCTTGAGAGCTTCATTCTTGGCAATCTCGTAACCATCCGTGATAACTCTGGGATGCAGCCCCTCAGAGATATACCGATCAGCCTGCTTCAAGAGCTCTCCGACCATCAGGACAACGGACGTCGTTCCATCACCGGTAATATCGTCTTGTGCTGTGGCGGCGCGGGCAATCATAACCTTGTTCGTGTCAGTAAAAAAGTGGTATCCGAGTTCGATTCGCGGGTGGCTTACGGCTGTTGGGTTTTGGATTTGCTGGGTCAGTTAGCATGGTTCACAAGACATTACAGAGCAGAACCTACCATCTCTCGCAAGAGCACATTGCCATCCTTAGTCAACTTGATCTATATGGGATCGCCCGTCAGATAACGTATTCTTCGTTCAAAGAAGAGTGGTCCATACTCCGCCAGCACCATCCACCAACCTACTTCGTGTCAGTACTCTGTCATTATTGGACCATTCCAAAAGTGAAACATACATCTTTAGAGTCCCAGAAGGACCCAAATTAGACTTCAAGACATCCTGAAGACCCTCACCAGCGCTAATGTTCACTTTCAAAGCTTCCGCCCTCCGCTGTGCGGTGTCAGTGTGTGTCCAGATAATTGAGGGGCAGTCCGGAGCTTTTCCCATACCCTCGACTCGGCTTTGGGGTTCAGTAGCTGAGTTGCAGACATCTCTGCAGATTGAAATCGATAACAGACAATAGAAGAGCACGCGGAAGTACTCAAAAGCAAAATAACCCCTGTTGATATTGGTCGCCCAAAAGAGAAACCCGCGTTGGCACAAACTGCTGGTAGGCCCCGGCGAATGCGGTGAGCCTGAGTTTTGGCAAAAAGCCCACATTCGATGTTCGCACTAGCGCCGCCGCGAAAGAAAAAAAAGAGCTCTGACGGTTTGGACTCTCCAAATCCACCTTCCAGCCCTTTTTCAACTCCACGTCGGGACACAACAAGGCTGCAATCGCAGGTGACCGGTGACTGCGCAGTGGGCTTGGGTACTCGGATCAATCAACAGATTTTTTTTGTGTAATTTTGAGGACATTAAGACGATTTCGCCATGGCCGACTACCTTTTGTTCGAGGGCCCTATGGGCTACTCAATCTTCAAAGTCGCTCACCAGGGAGACAGCGTTGGAAATCGCTTGAAGGAGGTTCAAGATGGTGTGAATGATCTTGCGAGGTTCGGCAAGATGGTTGAACTCGCCAGTTTCCTGCCATTCGAGTATGTTTTGACAATCTATTCAATTTTTTTCTCCTTAAAGCCGAAATGCGTATATGCTGACAAACTCTAGAAACAACAAGCAGGCTCTCAGCGAAATCAACGATGTTTCGGAAGGTGTCGCTTCTGACACTCTTATCAACTTTCTCGAATTGAACCTTCCAAAGGCCAGCAAAAAGAAGAAGATCGTTCTCGGACTTGCTGACAAGGCACTGGCTTCAAGTATCAAATCAGCCTTCCCTTTCGTCGATTGCGAGACTGGAGACACCAGTGAAGTTGTCCAAGATATGCTTCGTGGTATCAGGCTGCATGCCACTAAGTTGCTAAAGCAGCTCCGTGAGGGTGATATGGATACTGCCCAGCTTGGTCTCGGTCACGCCTACTCCCGCGCTAAGGTCAAGTTCTCCGTCCAGCGTGACGACAACCACATTATTCAGGCTATTGCAATTTTGGACCAACTCGACAAGGCCATCAACACTTTCTCTATGAGAGTGAGAGAGTGGTACTCGTGGCACTTCCCTGAACTTGTCAAGATCGTTTCGGATAACCAGCGCTACGCTCAGATTGCACTCTTTGTCAAGGATAAAAAGACTCTGACTGATGAGAGCTTGCACGATCTTGCTGCTCTTGTGGAGGATGATGAAGGTGTTGCTCAGAGCATTATTGATGCTGCCAAGCACAGCATGGGCCAGGAAATCTCCGAGTCCGACATGGAGAACGTCATTGCGTTCGCACAAAGAGTTGTCAGCCTTTCCAAGTACCGCAAGTCGCTGCACGCTTACTTGGTTTCCAAGATGAGCGTCGTCGCTCCTAACCTTGCTGCGTTGATCGGAGAGATCGTTGGCGCTCGTCTGATTTCGCATGCCGGAAGCTTGACCAACTTGTCCAAGTATCCCGCTTCTACCGTGCAGATTCTTGGCGCAGAGAAGGCTCTTTTCAGAGCTCTGAAGACCAAGGGAAACACTCCCAAGTACGGACTGCTGTACCACTCTTCCTTCATTGGCCGGGCTGGCCCCAAGAACAAGGGCAGAATCTCGCGATTCCTTGCAAACAAGTGCTCTATTGCTTCCAGAATCGATAACTTCTCCGAGGAACCCTCGACCAAGTTCGGTGAAGTCCTGAAGAAGCAGGTTGAAGAACGCCTGGAGTTTTATGCTTCTGGCGCACCCCCTACTAAGAACGAAGTTGCCATGGTATGTTTGGTTTCCTCGATGAAGATCCTATATGTGCAAGTCACTGACCATCACAGAAATCTGCCATGGATGCCGTTCTGGCCGAGATGGACATCGACGCTGACGACAGCGACAAGGAGATGCAGGACGTCGGTGACAAGGCTGAGAAGAAGGAGAAGAAGGAAAAGAAAGAAAAGAAGGAGAAGAAAGAGAAGAAGGATAAGAGCGAGAAGGAAGAAAAGAAGAAGAAGCGGAAGTCCGACGTTGGCGAAGGCGAATCTGAGAAGAAGAAGCGCAAGCACGACAGCGATGCCGAGCCGTCCAAGAAGAAGAAGAAGGTCTAAGGGCACCACTCTATGTTGGGACTAAAAGGGCGTATTCGTCGCGGCGTTTGTAGGGTTGATTTCTCTTTGTGATTTACCTTGTTTTGAATTTCCTTACATCTTGTTGTTTTGAACGACTCTATTGGGCTGGGTATTTGTAAATTATATGATTGAAGCCTTTGTCGTGCTGAGTCTCAATAGTCCACAGAACCTCATTTGGTTCTAGCTATTTCCTTTCAAAAGCTGAATGTCCCTGGGAAAGACACAGGTCTAGGTATCTAATGTCTGGCCCGAGAAAACATTGATTATCATCATTCATGAACTCATCAACCTGGCTGACGAGAGTAAAAACATCATTATGCAGTATGCGAATCCTCCCCTTCACCCGCGCTACTATCATTCTCATCAGACGTGTCTCTAAAGGCCCATCTGCCGATGAATCTTTCATCCCTGACCGGATCTCGTAGTGAGATTTTTCGACTTTCTATCCACCGCAGCAGGTCTGACTTGCGGATTGTGACATAGTGACCAGGCTCATGGGCAGCCTGCTTTGCCTTTCGCCTTTTGGAAGGCGTCTCAGGTTGAACAATGCCCATTCCTCTGAGGGCCGTAATCACGTCCTCCGTCAGCATCCCAGTGGCCTGCCCTATATCCCTGACGGTCATGAAAGTTGCTGAATGCCGTTTCCGAGTCTCTTTGACTGGCTGTGTCTCTTGTACAAAAGCATCTGTATCGTCCGACAACAAACGCCTTCCGATCCGTTCTTGCCAGAAGCGGGAATAGCTTCGCGCACCCATATCACTCAGCGGCTTCTCGGGACCGCCTATGAAACCCGCATCTTCTTCCCAGCCACTGATTTTATAACTAACACCCATCAATAACTTTCCCAGCTGCTTATGTTGGTAAGGTGGGAAGACCAAAATGCAGGCAAGGTTGTTCGCGTCCCAGGACAGTTTCTCCTTGGAGAAAAATCCTAGAATATGGTATTTTTCGGGGTTCTCAGGATCGGTGAACGTGAGGATGTAGTACAGGAAAGTCGCGACGTCGAAGAATACGGACTTGTGGTCGAGAAACAGCTTGGCAAAGAGCGAGAGATTTTGCGCATAGAGCTTGTGTTCTTCTCCATCCACCTCCCATACTGAATATCCGCCATGTTCGTAGACCTGGGCGCCGGGAGGTGTTGTCCGGTGTTCGCAAAGTCGCATATGCCTCACATGGCTGTTCACGTCGCACGAGTAACAGAAACACCAGCAACAGACATACAAACGGTCTGTATCCTTGCTCACAAGGTCTTCGGGATAGATCGATTGATACCAAGTCTTGAATAAAAGGTCACCCAGTACAACCTGTTTCAGGTTACGCTCGGTCGGGGATTTCACATGGGGAGACGCGCCGTCGGCAGAGGCCATTGAGTAAGAGAGGAAATGGGAGACGTATCAAGGTCAAGGCTGTGGGAAAGAGACAGTTGCAATTCTATGTATGCGACGCTTCCTCTGATGCTGAGCCATCTGCGTAGCGGTTGCTGGGAAGATTTCGGGAGGAGAAGCGACGTCAGGGTGTGGTTAAGTTCCAGCGTGCAAGACAATAATGTTCGGAGGAGTTATTCTCAACGGAGTCCTGTGTTGGAAATGATAACACTGAGACTATTAACCCATGTAATACAATAGATAGTACAAGCACATGAAGGATGCATGCTCTACGGCCAATGGACGATTGATGCTGTTTTGGCAGCGTTCTGATGGATTATTTAGTGGAATTATTTCGTGGGGTGTTGCCTTGCATCTTTAGCTTTGTCTCCGCCCGTCTAATTACCCTCAAGAAACTCCGAAACGCCAACCACATGCGTATTCTGTTGCCTGCTATCCATCTCTGCCTTTGTGATTTGATGGATTTTATGCATGAGCCCTGTGCAGCCAGTATCATTTGATTCTCCTCACTCCTCTTTGTCGTAGTGAACAAGGATAATCTGCCGCCAGTCAGAAGCTCTGGTCTTCTGTGTTGCCATCCACAGGCAGCAGCATAGCTGCGGCCTCGTCAGCTTCTCGCCGCACCCCATGCTATCTCTATCTATTTGAAGCTTGTAGCTCTCATCTTTTTCTGGTCTACCAGTCTTTCTGTTCTATCAATATTTTCCGTTATCCATCTCAGTTGTGTCTCTATTGACCACTCTCCAATCGGTGGCTATCAGCAGCCATGTTGAAGCCATTCCAGATAAGAGATCTTCATGGATCTCCAACACAAGAAGATGCGTACAACTCCCTCGACTGTCTCCCACCGGGGGACCATGGTCACAGTACCTGTAGGCGCTCAGGCATTGTGCAGCTCTCAGCCTCTGACTACGATGAGATCGCATTGTCTCATCCCCGAGCCCGGTTGACATACGTGGATGATGATGACCAAGAGATTATCACTGTAAGTGTTATGTCTGGTCAGATTTACGCATTCAGTCTTTAACACATATACTCCTAGGTCGGATCATCTCTTGAGCTTTCTCAACGTCTGGACGAACCTATATATGATATGCCAGTCCAGTCAAACCCTACACAAGATTCCGCGATACCCGAGACCATGCACATCTTCGATATTCGCCGATCTAACTCTGTCACTGAGCTATGGAAGCGATTTGAGTTTAATCCGGCTGGCCGGGAAACGGAAGGCACAGAGAAGGCAGTCGAATCGACAACGGACAATTCTACTCCTCCTTTACAAGACGGCAGAGAATCGAATGCTGGTCTGTCTTCAAACGAGGGTTCCGAATCGCTTTTGGCCGCGTTTGAAACAGAGATGACCAAGATTCTGAACGCTTCAGAATCTCGCAATACAGGCAATGCAGAAGAGACTCCTTCTTCTACGGAAGTGCCAAACGAGTCGGCAAGCACTGGCAGACGCACAAATCCCGCTGTGGCCTTGGCTCAGGCGATGCACCACCTGATCAACGGAGCTGAAATGATTGGCTCCGAGGTGAGGTCAAGATTGCCAGAGTTGGAACATCAGCTAGAGCATCATCTACAGAACGCGCAAAGAGTCCTGCCAGAAAACGTCGGGTCGACCGTCCAGGCGGCTCTTGCGAGCTTGGATGCTCAGATGAGGAATCTGACCACTGCGCTGAACAATGCAAACAGCGCAAGGGATCGGAGAACCAGCAACATGTTCCGGGGCGAGGTTCCTACACCTGCAGAGGCTGTAGACAGTCTGTATACTATGGCTTCTGAGCTCGGCCAGATGGGACACACACTATACTCGGCCTTTGAGACTGAGTTCGGTTCCCGTATTGAAGCGAGAGGTGCAAATCAGCCGTCGGGTGGAAGTCTCCAAAATCCGACGCCGGGTGACGAAGCTGCGGTAACCCGAGAGCCTTCAGCTGAGGATTCGGTTTCGAGCACTAAGACTGAGAAGGAGGCGAAGATCCCGCTAACCGCTGAAGAACCTGATACAACTTCAAGAGGGCAGGGAAGTAAAAACCGAGAGGAGCCGCGACAATTCAGCAGCCGGATGGAGGAGCCTGGTCTTGCACAGTGCGTCCCATCGCAACAGGACGAGCCGTCAGAGCTACCCGAATCCGTTCGTCATGGCGCCCTACGTTTGATCTTCCTTATAGACCTCGTCCGTGGCGCCGTTTCCCTCATCCGTCCCATTGTCATTCCCACCACCACCACCATTCGCGTCCACATCCTCATTCTCATCCCCATCCGCCTCCTGCTCCGCACCGCGATCACGATAGTCATCCCCATCCTCATCCTCCTCCTCATCCTCCTCACCATCCCCACCACCATCATCAACATCAGCTTCGTCCCTTTCCTCCGCCACCCCCACCACATCAACATCATCATATTCCTCCTCCCCTCACCCACCTCACCCGTTCCATCCCTCGCATATTCCTCGCCCGTCCTGGGGAGCCCACGGCCCCTTCCGTCCATCATTTCCGCCTCATCCGCGTGCTCACAATCATGGATCATGGCGCTCCGCCTGGCCATTTTTCCGGCCCCACCAGGAGCACCAGTCTGAAGCGCCAACAGCTGCTACAGATCAAGTTCCCGATGCTGGCGCCGGTGCACTTCGTTCCGCAAATGCAGTGTTGTTCGTTGGCAATGTAGGGTTCAATGTCAGTGAGAAGACAATCAGAGATGTATTCACTGCGAAGGGGTTCCTTGTTGATGTCCACTTGCCCTTGGACGCCGAAACCAGGAAACATGCAGGCTTTGGCTACCTATACTTCCCTTCGATTCACGCGGCAAGGGCGGCATTGGATGCCTTGCAAGGTACACACATTGATGGTCACTCTATCAATTTGGAACTAAGCGACCATTCGCCAATTACGTCCCTCCATCCTGACCAGGTTCCAGAGTGGGGCCACGCTCGTCGGCCGTCGGTGCTGCACAGCTCGGCCAATCCATCTCCGGGAACAGAGCCTGAGCGGCGCGAGTTTGGGCAAGATGGTAAGGGTGAAGATACCATCACAGCGAGGGAGAAACGACCGATTCCTCTGAGTGTGACCAATTTATGTTCGAGCAACGAAGGCACAGATCAGGAGCCAAAAGGAAACAATATCCTGAGCATTACGCCTGACAGTTTCCCCCGTCTCACTCGAGGCTTAGAGCAGAGCCGCTTTCCTCCCATGTCTCAAATAGATGCTCATGTTCTAACGCACCACCGTCGCGACCCGGACACGTCAATGCTGGGTGCGTCCGCGCCCGAGTGTGATGCGAGCCATGGGAATGATGTCGCTGGCAGATCGTGTCAGCTGCAAAGTACCCCAGGCTCGTTTCCTGACGATGATGGCGATGAGACACGGTCAGGTCCATTCCAAGAAGTCGCTCAAACATCAGGCGCAGGTCATGATGATCACTGTAAGCCTCGTCGGTCAAAGAGTATGAGATACCTGAATCGCAACGGAGATAGAAGTCCTTCAAGAGCCTTGAGACGGCGGGCAACTGAGCGACATTCCCTACACCATGGTACACGGAACAGTGTTGGTGGATTTTACGACGAGGGATGCGCATACGACAACTACTCCAATACTTTCGGGCACTCTCGTCCTCGGAGCCTGCCCCTATCGCAGGAAGCAATCTCGGTCCCGGTTGAGAACGAACAGCAGCTTGACCCAAGACTGAGTGCCATTGACGACTGCGTGGTTAGTCTGATTGGCCTGGGATACGAGAACACACTGGAGGGTGGTATTCAGCGGATTGCGGTATATGCAGCCGCAGCGGACGGCAAGATATCAGACGCCATTGAGATGATTGAGGAAGAACGCAAGGCGTACGAGCAGCAAGGTCTTTGAAACAGAATGCTTCATTCATTTTCTCCATCCACTTCTCTCACCTCTTCACGGTCTGGTTGCTTGTGATATGACTTGGTGCTGTTATACTTGCTTGGTTTAGCATACCATGTGCGATTATGGCCACTATAATGCCTTGTAGGCGCACTTCCCTTCAGTAATATCTTACAATATAAGCGATCCATGAAATTGTTTTAATTATTTGTCTTTCTTTTCGAACAAGGCAAGAACAAACGTAGGGCGTGTACTGATGACCCCGGCGACCGCGATTCTGCCGTGCGGAAACAGCAGCACTCGGTCCGAGCCGAATTGAGCGGAGAGGATACGGTCTCAGCAACACAGCATCATCACAACACTACTTTTTATCCAGTCTAGTCAGAGCTATGCGGACATGGCAGCGGACCTTTGCCACGTCTGTTGCCAGACTGAATAGTAACGCAACAGGACGAAGCGGCGGTACCACTCTCCTGCGGTGCGCGGAAGTTCTCCGGAAGAGTCAGGCTGGGAGCAGCAGTTACGAGAATCAAGAAATCAAGATCAACGGTTTCGTTCGCTCTGTTCGAAAGCAGAAGCGCTTCGCGTTCGCAGAGATTACAGATGGTTCGACTATTGAGCCCTTGCAGGCGTTCCTGAAGCCTGCGCAGGCGGCAGAGTACGTTGAGAGTCGCGAAGCCGGCGTGGATATTGCGGCTTGAGCTGAGAGCTGATGGTTGTTGTAGATTATCTACAGGAACGGCCGTCGAGATTTCTGGGCTATGGAAGGCTTGTCCGCCTGGTAAAGAGCAGAGCCATGAACTTCAAACGACAGCGGTGAAGGTCGTGGGTCAAGCAGAACCAGAGGTACGTTGACTCGACCATATCAGAAGTCACGAGGGTAGAATCTGACTGTTCATTATTTTTGTCCAGACATATCCTATACAAAAGAAATATCACAGTCCTGACTTCCTCCGGTCGATCCCGCACCTTCGTCTCCGAACACCCTTCAATTCTGTCCTGTCGCGGTTTCGCTCTGAATGCTTATACCAGCTGGGCAATGTCTTCCGTGATGCGCCGAATGGCGGCTATGTACAAGTTCAACCGCCATTGATTACATCATCGGACTGCGAAGGAGCTGGGGAGACATTTACGGTGCTGCCGCGTGAGACAATCATGGATCCCAAGTCGGAGGGGAACCATTTCTTCCGGGCTCCCAAGTACCTGACGGTCTCGTCGCAACTTCATCTCGAGGCCTATGCAGCCGAGCTGGGAAATGTCTGGGCTATCTCACCGACCTTCCGTGCGGAGAAGAGCGACACGCCACGCCACCTCAGCGAGTTCTACATGCTCGAAGCGGAGATGAACTTCATGGACGATCTCGACTCTCTGACGGATGCGGTGGAATACGTGGTTCGCGATCTTACTCGCCGGTTGTATCAGTCGCCGGTCGGCCAAGAGATCCTGGCTGCCAAGCGGTCAGGCGAGAGCGGCCAAGATGATGCCGGCAATGGGGCAGTTCCAAACCTTCGACAGCGATGGGTTGATCTAATGGAGGGGCCTCGCTGGCGACGAATCACCTATACGCAGGCGATGGAGTTGCTCGGAGCGGCGGTCGCTCGGGGAGAGGTCTCGTTCGAGTATGCTCCTACGTGGATGGAAGGCCTCCAACTCGAGCACGAGAAGTACATTGTCGACGTGATCAACCGGGGTCAGCCGGTATTCGTGACGGACTATCCCAAGGCCATCAAACCGTTCTACATGGCGCCGTCCCAGGAGGCCCCAGGCAAGGAAGAGGACGCCTCCGCGCCCGGTGAAACGGTCGCCTGCTTCGATCTTCTCCTGCCGGAGGTTAGCGAAGTCGCTGGCGGATCACTCCGTGAACACCGCCTGCCCAACATTATCCAGAACATGCGCGATCACGGGTTGATCAAGGAGCGATTATATCCCGCCTCTGGTGCTGGAGAGACGCCTACGACCCAGACGGCCCCTGAGCAGCCGTTATACCCCATCTCCAGCCGTATGAGGACTTGGGACATCTGCAGTGGTACGCCGATCTTCGACGGTGGGGGAGTGCACCGCATGGAGGATTCGGGCTTGGGTTTGACCGGTTTCTCAGTTATCTAGCCGGAGTTTCGAGTGTGCGGGATGTGGTGGCTTTCCCTCGATATTTTGGCCGGGCTGATTGTTAGCCTTCGCTGTACGGAGTAGTAAATGTATGATATGTATTTTAACACCATGAACGAATAGACTCTCCATCGAACCTTGGGACCTAATCACAATACTCCATACTCGAAAAGACTACAATATCAGGCCACTGGTCCAAAATCCAAAATCTTATCAAATCCCCGTGACCCATCAGTGCCGTGACCCATTAAAGATTACAAGAAATAAGCACTAAACCTATGAGCCAACGCCAACCAACGCCCCAACCAAAATCCAGGATCCAAGAATAAAGACGAATCAAAACTCCCCTCAGGTTCGCACAGAGCCCGGACTCTATCGACGCAACGCCATCTCGCCTAATCGACGCCATCGCCGACGTTTTGACTCGTATCCACGCCAACGGGTCGCGCGCGAGGGATCCGACCGTCCAATCCTGGAGCTGGCCATCTCGTCGAAACAACCGGACAAGGGAGCTCGGTGAGCTGGGTGAGACTGAGTCCGAGTCCTGGTCCAGTATCTGCCATCTGGTGTTCTACGGTTTAGGAGCAGCGAGCTTGGGGAATGACATGCGCCACTTAACCTAAATCTAAATCCTTTGTAATCTCTACTCCGTAGCGAAGGGAATTGTATCCGACGAGAGGGGTTGATTCGAGGGGAGAAAACTCTGAATTCCAGTTTGCATATGACTGGTGGTATGAGGCTACCTGTGCGTACTCCGAGCTATGCATACTACCTAGGATGAGGCGAGCGTTGTTCGTTTGAGGGTGAAACTTACATTCCTCTCTGTCTAGATACGTACTCCGTAGATGCTAGCCTGTAGGATCACATCCCCCGCATTCTTTAAGCAATATGCTGCAGGATTGAGCATTAAAGATAGGCGAGAGTCATAAGGATTCTTCCCATGATCCATGAGATTTTTGTGTTCCGTGGAGTGTACTCTGTGGATAATGACTAGATATTTGATGCTAAAGTCCCACGTGGGCTGTCTGGGGTACTCGGACTGAGGTAGTAACAACTCGTAAGGTAGCAAACTAGTCAGAAATCGTTCTCAGCCAAGCCAGACTGGTTCATGGCTGGTCCTTGGCAAAGGCGGCTGCTGTTCTTGTCGTTCATTTCGAGTGGAGAGGATGGACGATAAAGAACATACGGAGTAGATCTGACCCAGAAGTTTCCGATAACCTATTAGAGTAGGCGGATTCGAGTCAAAAAGGAAAAAGGACGCGATGGATTGAAGGGAATGAGGACTGAATCCTTTGACCATGTTATATTAGGCAGAATGATACGTAATTAACATAATTGAGGCTGTGCCCCTAACACTTTTTCAAGGGTCAAGACTTCCAGCCGGCGATCCAACGGGTTCTCTATACTCTTTGTGAATAATCATAAGACTGTCGTCAAATTGGCAGCAGCCGGGAACTCCGGAAAAGGAAGATCGGAGGCAACGGAGCTGAAGGAAGTCCGAGAACAAGCTGCGGTCTTGGACGGGCCCTCGCTAAGGTCGCTACCGAGGCAATGGTGTTAGATGAGAGTAATAGTGGATAAACTCCACCTTTTGAATTTTTTTTTTCATTTTTTGTGTCCCATGTTGTCGTAAGTTCATATTTATTATTCATCTTAAAATATTAGTTAAGGACAAAACATTGACATTTACTCGATACTTGTGGGGTACAGAAAGCGAATGCTGGAAACCAAGGTGCTGGTAAGATAGTAATACAGTAATTAACACCTTGGGTGGCTGACACACACTACAGCGTCACTAACAGGCGCGGAGAAATGCCAAGTTGCCAACCTTACTGGTGTTAAGCATATGGAGCTCGGCCTGAAGGCGCCTGGCATGATGATTCGTCAGTGACTGAACCCCAGCAGACTAATGTATTGCCCTCGTATCACGGTGTTCTTAGTTGCGAATACGATGTGTCTGACACTGCCGGTCCGGCTCACCCGGCTTTTCCTTTTTTTTCTATTTTCTATTTTCGCTCCTCTTGATAAGGAGTCAAGAGGGGAACAGTTAATTTAACTCGGGGACATGAAACAGACAAGGAATGAGGATCCAAGCCCCGATCCAAGCCTTGTGGTGCAGCGATCATGCGGACTGTGTATGTATTTGTATTACAATATAATGACAGCCCAGGGAGTGTTGGACTGTTGGTGCCTCTGATTTTGAGCAATGTAAGAATAATACTAGTAATAAAATAATATTTCAAGGTATGCTCGGCCTCGACAGTGTTTCTAAAATGTCCTACCTGCCGTCTTTAGTATAAAGCATGGAAGGTCTGCCAGTGACTCACAGAAATAATAAAGAAACTAAGGTACTTCTCTCAACTGCAGCCTAATCAAGGATAGAGTAGTAAGGTTACAAGCGGGATGTGCTTGGCTCTGCAGCGCTTTGACTCCGAGAGCCAGGGATGAGCTTGATAGGGAGGTGTCGCAGAGTTTTAACTCCTCAGCATTTCTTGTTCATTCCACATTATTGAGTTGCCTTAGCCCCAAGCCCTTGATATGGAGGTAGAAGTATGATATTTAGGCTTTTGTATTATTAGCAAGCTGCAGTAGATTCATAGCCAGGATGAAGAGGATCGCCTCAGCATAGATGTACCTGTCCGGATATCCACTTCAAATTTCACAGAGACAAATCCATAATTCTAATCCTTGTTAATGTAACCATAATCTAAATCAATTTTTGTCTTACTGTTATTTTCCACTTCCCAGTGGATACTTTAAACCCATTATGCTAGTGGGGATAAGCCTGTGCAACGTTTCACAGGGGCACGCCTTGGCAACCTTTAATTCAAATTAAGGGTTGCATTGGCATGACAAATGTCAACCCTTCCAAGTCGAAAAATGCGTCTTTTGATCTGGTATGCTCGATGTTCTACTGAGTTCGTCAGTGTAAAGCGACACTATGCAAGGAGAATGATCAGATATGTACGATCTTTTTTACCTTTTCTGGCCATACCAGAGTCTGAAGGTTTGTAATATCATCTCAAGGAGCAAACCAATCCGGCTCTGGCATTTGGCCCAGATTGCAATCTTCTCTGGTTCATCCTCGGAGATTATCTCGAGTTTATTTGCGGGAATGTACGGAGTCCGTTGTGCTCAAGTCTTGTTGCTTGCTAGTTGCTGCACGCTCAAAGGTAGTATCGTAGGCGCCGTGATACATACTTGCTACATCCCTGCTGTTGCCCTGGAATGTAATCCTCAAGACAAGGGTTCCTTTCACACAAGCAGAAACATTATCAATCAAGATAGCGCGTCTATCATGGTCGCAGCACACAAGATGTGGAAGCAATTTAGATGCAACTGCAGATCAATGCGCCGTCCGGCTTTACCGCCCCAGTTGGCGAAGATATGCAGACTGCAGCAGTACTCTTCCCCGAAGCTAGACAGATCATATCCCAAGACTGATAATGGGCTTTCCCTTTTGGCTAGCGACTTGTCAGTTGAGGTTGATCGCGGGCCGCAGATCATTTTATTCTCAAAATGCACAGTGGGGGTCAATTGTCAGTGGTATCTAGACTATTATTTGCATACCTAGTATGTGATTTCGACGCATCCTACGTATCACCATTCAACCGACGCAACCCGCCTTCAGAGGGCATACTGCAAGGCAGGTCAACCCCTCACCCTTGCCTTCTTCGCTTGTTGGTTGCCTAAGCGAATATATTTGCGGTTTCTGCCGACACTCATTTCAATATATGAGAGCTCAGCTGCAAGTCAACCAGCCACTGCATCACAGCATGGACGACGCATGATTACCTTTGTCAGAAACATGCAAGGCTTACTTGAGAGCCAACCAGCAGTCAAAATACGTGAGTGTGACAAATTGACAATACAGTTTCCCATAAAGGTATAATTTCCAACCAGTGGACCGGCCAAGTGGCCAAGAAGAATGGACCAGGATTCTGCGGGCTTTGTTGGCGATACGCTTATCCTGAGTCAGGGACTGCACTGGTCGATGACTACTGAGTACTAGTAGATTCTGCGACGGTAGTCTTACTTTTCCCAGTAAAAATAATATTATGATGTTAAAATTCAGCTTCTGGAGATTGTGGATGATTTCGCTGTCTCACTCTCCCTCTCACTGGCCCCTGGAATAGAATTCTTTTTGGCCCCCCCGGAGTATTTCTCATAACGCGATTGTGGAATAATCTTCCTAAGAATATAGAAGGCTGGAAGCGAAAACTCTCTTGTCCAACACTTCCTGACTGTGCTTAGACCTTTTCCATGATCTTTATTTTGAGTGATGATGTCCTCTACATGATCATAAGGACCATGTTGCCTCATGTTCATCTTACGTCGTCAAAATTTAATTTCGGAAAATACTCGATATAGAACTGCCTCTTATTCCCAGGAATATGACTAAATCACCTGCATAGCACAATCATCAGAAGGCGCTGTCTGGTGGATAAACTCTGCCAAGGATCGTGTCGGGCCTGTGACTAATCCGAATGTAGTTGCCTAATCCATCATCTCGTTCTCCATCCCAAATAACGGACAAGAGGTGACGCTGGATCATGAAAGGATATTTGGATCTAAAACCTGTCTAAGAGCAAGGTAAAAGCAAACATGTGAAGTCTGCCGTCGCGTGATTTATACCAGACACCTAGTTGTGGAGTGTGTGTTCACAATTCTACCTTACTACTCCGTAAACTTCATGAGTCTCTCGAGCGAGAGTTATGTGGCTTAACGAATACGAAGAAGAGTATCGCCACAGTTTGCGTCAGTCAAGATTGTGGAGCAATAAAAAATTCATACCTCTGGAGAGGTAATAACATGGTCAGCTCGTACTGAGTACCCATGATTCATAATCGGAAATAAAGGGATATGACGGATATACGGCAGTGCCTAGAGGCCAGATAAGGTAATTCCAAGGAGAAGCCCACAAGGCGACGACTAGTGCGTTGGTGGACCAAGTTGGTAGGATCTAGTCCAAAATGGCGTCAGCCATTCCTACTAACTATGATCCATGACTTGTCTGGCATTAATTCTGGAAACTTGTCATTTTAACTCTGGATGGACTTAAAAGGTAATTATTCGCCCGGGCGTAACCGCTGCAAAGCAACATCTGGCCCAGTACAAATTATATTAGAATTATAATTTATAAGCCGAGGCGCGATCGGTGAATTGTGCATCCAAGGTACGTGGTGCTCCATATAAGAGATACCCATAAATGGGGGTTTTCCAGAATCCCCGCTTGAAAACTTATTTCCCAAACCAAACCAAACAGTTGGCCTTTTTAAGTATTCGTATCACTGTCAGACAGTCAATAAGAGCTAATAATAACGAAACCAGGATGAGGATTACTGAGACACTGAGACTATTTATTAGTAGTTCAAAGTCGACTAAACTCAGACTACATGGGGAGAAGTGGAGCCCTTGGGCAGGGTAGATGGGACCTTCTTTCTAAGCGAGGTTAAGGTTCCTCGTGTTGGATTAAGCTTAAGCTTCAGAAAGTCGCGCACTAATCAGTATTAGGGTGCGATCAAGCGATCAGAGCGCCACTGTACTGTGCGTAACCTTGTATTATTCCACTTTTATTGGAGTTCGTGGTCCATTAAGTGGAGGTTCTTACGTATTATTGTATTTGTGACCTGTGGCCACCTGCGCTAGAACATTACCTTTCCCATATTGTGTCTCGGCCCTACCGGGGCCCGAGCGATAATTTTGGCTTTTTTATCAATTTGTTACCTGACATTTACAACAGACGTAGCCAAGAATAGAGAGAATGTTGCCAAGTCTTGACACTCTCTGGAGTTTGCACTTTGGCAGACAACGGAAGGATTCAGATCAGGTTTCATGGCCGTATGACAAGGTATGTATAGCTGTCAAGGAAGTCGAGAATGCTAGGTTACCTCCTTGAATCTGTCAGCAGTCAAATCTCAAGTTTGAGATGAGCAATAACCTGATACTGTGGAATGAGGCACCTGGTATGCACCAAGTGGGATATGATGACACTTGGAAGCTAGAACATGCATAATCTTGAGGTGTACTTTAGTCAAGTCTTGAATTGGAGCTGTCTTGGATACTGGTCGCATTCATCTCCCATACCTTACTTCCAGAAGGCTGCTGGATTTACAGGATTTGGCTCAACAAGGAAATTTATCTTCCTTCAGGATTGGTCATGCTTATTTCATTTCTAATAATCCGAACCAAAATTCCACGGTCTCCTGTTACACTTTACTTCTCCCAACCATGGTCACTTAAACATGAACAAGTTTAAATGACTCTTGGATAGTTTTGATAAGGCATTAATCATTCATAATTCCAGGCCACAGCCATCATTAAATACATAATCTTATTTAATACAGTCCTCAATAAATGGTCCAAAGACATTCTTTTACTGTTGTTTCATCCTGGTTACCCACATGGATCCTTTCTCTGGCTGTTTCTCGGCGCTGAGACAGCGGCCAGCGCCTATGAGGTCCAAGCAACAGTGGTTGTATTTTTTCTTTTTTTTGCCCTTTTTCCCTTTATTATTGCTTTCCACTTTGACTTCTGAATAAAAAGTAACTTTGAATCCTGTGGGGTTCAGAGTTGAGTCCGTCTCCACTCTATCTTTACTTGCTCCTGCTGATGCGTTTCTACTACTACTATTATTATTATTATTATTATTATTATATTCTTTATTTTCTCATAAATAAATCTTATGATTCGTATTATTGCTGTATTAGTGCTATGTACTACTATTCTTTCTGCTCCCTGTCACTCTTATTTTGGTTTACTTTTTCTTTTTTGTCCCTCTTCCTTATTATCTCTCCTTCTTCCTTTCCCTCCCTCTTTCTTGCTTCATTTTCTTCCTTTTACGACCCTTTCGAAACTGACACTGTTCCATCCCTCATATCTTGGGATCATATTCTGTCTATCTCCTTCAGTCAAGGTGGGTACCAAAAGGATCTTCTTTCATATGATGTCAATTCCCTTCTCCTCGCTTCAGTCTGTGATACCGCATGGCCAATTTCCTCGGCCTTCCCTGCATTCTTCCCTTTATTCTCCTATCGTCTTTCCCCACTCCCTTTTGTCTGCCCTGTTTCTGCTTCCCATTCCAGCTCCCCTTGTCTCTCCTGTTTCCCCCCCTCTCGTCACATTCCAAGGCAGTTGATCATCCTGAAGAATTACATTAACATCAGCTTCTGCTCGTCCACAGACCTCTACTCAGCTCTACCGTTATCTATTGGATCTGTCGGTCGTCCGTATCTGGACCCGACTCTGATTTCCTTTTCCGGAAATTCACTACACTTCACACAGAGCCTAGCGTCTATCGCGGCTGAACTACTCGCAAAGTCCACGCCTTAAATCACGGGGCGTCCTATCTAAACCACAGTCAACCCAACTACCGCCATCATCATTTCCTACTTTGCAAAGCCATCTGCCCTGGCGCTCAGACCTTCCACCGTCACGGGTACTTATCCAGATCAGCGAGGGTGGATGGAGACGTATCACGGTCACGTCCGCACTCCGGCGGACGCAATCATCCTCTTCGAAGCATGCCGTATCGGCCTTCTTCCCCGCGTTCAGAGACGACTTTCGGAGAAAGAGCGCCAGTCTATCCAGTCCGGTTCGGTATTCGTCTGGGATGAGCGTGAAGCGGGTATGCGACGATGGACTGACGGCAAATCATGGAGTGCCAGTCGAGTATCGGGCAGCTTTCTCACCTACCGCGAGATGGAGGGCAAGCGCGGGGGTACCGTCACACAACCACTCAGAGCCGGTAAAACGCCTGACAGCAGAGGGAGCGATGACGACCGCGGCGACGGTGCTGACGATGGGCCTGACGGATACCGATATAAGCCTGACGGACTCATGAAGCAGTCCTTCAGCATCACAACATCCACCGGTCAACATCTTCACCTCATCAGTTACTATTCGCGATCGCACCCGGCTGCTGCCACTCTCCAACAACCCTCCACCGACCCTGCATTACGGCATGTACGTCCTCAGAAAGGACTGTATCCAGAATCCACCGTCAATGACCAGCAGAATCTGCCGGTGGTCACCCGCGGCCCCATGGCGGGCGCCACTTACTCTGTCCCTCATCCGATGAGTGCATATGTGCGCGCTGGAGCTACACATCCTCAATCATATACTCCGCCCTATGCGTGGCCCCCAACACCGCTGGGGACTCCGCCCACCATCACTCTGCCATATGGCGCCTCCTACTTGTCCGCCGTACCCACACCTAATGGCCCAGCCATTGCGTACGGGCAACCGCCTCCCCATCACCACCCGGCTCTTCCACCGCCCCCGCCGCAACACGGACTGCATCCGCCATACGACCGGTCAGTACATCCAGGTCATCCAGCCGAAAGCTCATTACCACCCGCTATTCCACCCCCAATGGCGCAACATACACCTCTTCCGGCACTCACAGGGCGCTCTCCTCGCCTAGCTCCTGACCCTCGCGACAACTACCAGCGAAGCCCGCGAGACTATCCAACAACACATTCGGTAGATCCCCGGATCCCGTCCCCTCGCATGCATGCTCCTTCCGCCTCACATAGCAATGGCGTGGGACACTCTGTGCGCAGCCCGCGGACAATGAGCCAGGCACCGCCAACCCCCTTACCACAGGTCGCGCCCTCCCCCGGGAGTTCCAGACCAGCCGATTCCAACCACAACAGCAGCACAGCCACTACCTCTGCCACCACCGTTCCCAGCATTGGGGCGCTGATGAACGGCGCCTCGGGCCCCTTATCATCCATCACATCCGCACCGTCGAACAAGCTCAACGCTCCTCGCTTGGGCGGCAGTCCTCGCGCGGAAGGGCCGAAAGATATCCCCAGCGAAAAGATTGGGTTTGGGGGCGAGGATATGCGGGCTCTGCGACAGCTGGATCGTGTCTTTACCGCTTAGATTTTCATTATTTCCATTGTATAGCAACTCCGTTTCTCGTTGCTAGTCAGACGACGAATGCTTTCCTATCTTTGGTTATCATTTCCTTCTTTATTGTCATGGGGGCTCGGCGTCCATAAGAGGTGCATTGATTTTGTGATTAGCATGGGTGGCATCTGATCTATCTGTGTATCGACTTCGGCTTCGAATCGAATGGGCATTTTTGCATTTGGCTCCATAAATGTGCCACGCTAGCTTGCATTGGGACCGGTAGCTGATGGGTCGAATCAATATAGATGATTTCGTCCATATTCATTACGGAGCGAAGCGTAGCATGTCTTATAGCTCGCAGAGTACCGATGTAGATTCAATAGGTCACATCATGATTACTTGTATCTCATCATCCTCGCTAGCGTGTCACATGCTATATACTACACCGTTATTAGACTCAGCCCCCCCGTAATGAATTCATTTATTAATCCTCTCGCCGTCCCGGCGAAGCAACAGTAACAGTCAGGAAATCACTTTCCGACGAGCTAGAGGCATCACTCGCCGTCCGCGTCGTGATTCTCGGCGCTGCTGTTGCTACTGCCGCCACAGAGCCATCTTTATCCTCGCCATCTCCCTTCCCATGCGGAGCGAGAATCCCCATCTCGACGTAGCGATCCAGCTGCTCACGAGAAGAGGAGCGATCGCGGACGTGGCCACGGCTGCTGCCGTGCAGCCAGCGCGATTCCCACCAGCGCTTGCGACCGTGGAGATCGGCGTCGGTGGCGAGCGCAGAGTCGAGCTCCCCGCGCTGGACGATGAGGGCCTTATCCTCGTTGAGCTCGCAGAAGCCGACTGCGTTGAAGAGCACGATGATGAGTAGGGCGGGGGCGTAGCCAAGGCCGTACAGCCAGCCCTGGCTGACTGCGACGCGCAGCGGGGAAACGGACCAGTCGAAGGCGGCGGCGATGGTGTAGCCGGTTTTGAGGCCGAGGAGGACGAGGGCGACGAGGAATTCCGGGGGCTGGCGGTGAGGTAGAAGGTTTGTTGGGCGACGGGGCTGGTGGGCGCTGCTCGATACCGGTAGATGCTGTGTTCGAGGCTGTAGCAGATGACTAGCGTGCCGGCCAGGGACATGAAGGCTGCGAGCTTGAAGCGGAGGTCTGTGGCGAGAGGCTGGGCGCGCAGCGCGGTGAGTTCTGGGCTGCGCTGCAGCTCAATGCCTGTCCAGCTGCGGGGGATGGTCAGGAAGAAGTTGGCTAGGGCGAAGGCGTAGAAAAGGATGGGGAGGAGGGATTCCTGGCGGCGTCGGCTGCTGCGCTTTGTGAAGGCGTAGGGGTCGCGGTCGAGGATCTGGCGTTCTTGCCAGGAGGCCCTGCCTATCGTCAGTACAGAGATGTTTAAAAGGTTGCGTGCGGAAGGGAAGTATTACCAGTGGCGCACGGCCTCCCAGACTGCCGCCATGAGGCCAGGGGTCATCAGAGTGTAAAAGACACTCTGCAGGATCAACGAGGTTCCCTGAATATGGCTGCGGTCCACGTCCACGGTCATGATGCAGCTGATCAGTCCGCAGGCAGCGACGAACAGCAGCCACAGCCACTTGAGTCGACGACCCATCGTGCGACCAGGTAGATACTTGCGTCCGTGTTTTCGCAGATTGAACATGGCGAGGAACATGGAGACTGCAAAGAACGCGGTGAACGCCATCCCGATCGAGGCATGTTGGCCAATGCCGTGGATGGGCGCGTAGCAGGATATACCGTCGACAAAGGTGCCGTTCTCATCCATGCGAGGTTGAAACTCTTGGAAAGCGAGATAGCAGTCTGTGCCATTTGAGAGCGTGCCGTTGCTGTATAGCGTGTACTTGTACAAGTCCAACGTCGTCCGGTTGAAATGAACTTCGTTGACGATCACGTCCGTGGCATTGGCTCCCGGCTCATATGGAGTCGCTGCTCGAATGTGAAGGATCGTCATGATGCTTGATGTGCCTCCTTTCTCTCTTCCTGTGGAGCGTCCAACGCCGCTGGTGTCCTCAATCGAGGTACGTCGATGCCGCCGTGATCATAGCGGACAGAGACTGGCAAGAACAGGTGGAACATGGTCAATTGATGATAGAACAGATTTGAGCTGCGAGGAGGAGAGCGGAAGGACCGGAGGTTGACGATGTGATGACGAGGGCGAGGTGGTATTCGGGACAGTCAATGATGATATGACAGCTACGAGCCATGTGTTTCGTCCGGGTGCCTGCCGGGAGCACTCCATAAACAGTGGTGTAAGCCACCCCCAAGCTTCAAGTGAGTGACTTTGAGCCCATTACCATTACTGCTTCTGACAGTTTAGTACCATTGCAAGTGGGGATGATCCTCAGGCAAAAAGGCATAACCCCCACGATTCTTCTTATCGATAAGATGGTGTTGTTATCGATAACCTTACCCTTTTGAGGTTGTCCTGAATTAACCTGCACTACTTTCAACTTCCATTTCTCAAGGATGCTGCCAATACGATTGAGTAATGGAATCCTCCAGCTGATGAATCATATGCACTGATTTGGCCTTCAGCCCGTCCCAACTCGACCTGAAAGCCATGCATACGCCGTACGGAGTACATGGCAGTGGCAGGATACACGACTCCTTACGAGGCATATTCGACTATCATTGGTTCTGCAGTTGACTGTGAGGGATTTCTGTGTGACCTGCAAGGAACTGCTGAGCTATCTGTTTGTGCCCCGTGCTCTCTGAGCGGCAGCTAGCTGAATAGCTTGTGCCGTATGGATCCTGTCTCGACCTTGAGGGAGGCATTATGCCCATGCGCCTGCCAATCAGTAGTCTACTAAGCAATACCGTATTGAGATTGAGGTGAACTTTGTTCGCATGGAGGGTTGACCTGTCCATCTTCTTTTGAGGGCGTCAGGTTGTTTTGACCGCAGATCCAAGTTGGTTGGATATGAGAGATATATTCCTGTCCAGACCGACAGATTCATGCCCCTGGGCGAAACATACGTTGGCTAGAGTTGGAAGGTGTCCACGTGATCACATGTAAGAGAAATCATAGGTGGCTTACACCTCCTCATGAAGCGCAATATTTAGAAGTACCATTTTGTAAACCTTGAGATTGAAAGACACATTTTCGATATTCAGGATGGAATATACGCGCCAGGACGGAAGGATGAGGCACAGCCCTTCTGCATTGAGCAATCAAAGGAGTTTTTGGCTCCTTTTACAGAGCAGAGCAGTGCTTTTGTCGAAACACCAAGAGACTTTTGGGAAGCAAACTTCAATCTGAAACTGATTGAACTACAACTAGATCAAATGCAAAACCGGAAGATCTCGGTGATGCCAACCCCGCAAAGAGATGGTGGGGTGCATGAGACTAGGAGGACAGCTCACCGGAACAGGTTACACTAATCCATTGCATCCGGGGGAAATATATAGTACAACAAGATGGTTGGCCAGAGAATGGAAGCCAGTGAGCTGTGAGCGTTAGGGAAAAGAACTGTGTATCCATGTCTCCATAAGATAGATGCTTCCTCATACAGTCATACTTAAGCGTTCCACAAATGGAGAATCATTACATGACTATTGAATTTGATTATCCGTGCTCTGCGCGAACTTTAGTTTGTTTAACACTCTCATACAGTTGCATTTGTCTTCGTAACACTCAGCCTCATACATATCAAAATCACAATTATCGTGATCGGAAAGACCCTTCAAAGCCGTGTCCCTGCACTAGCGATAGAAACTCGTCGAAATGAATAGAAGCAGACGGGAAAAGCTGACGCTCCGAATGTCACTGTACTTATGTGATTGGCTCTCAACCAAGAAGCGAAATAATGTACAAGGCTCGAAAGATGAAACTACTCCGTAATGGGATTGGGATGTTTATGGTCTTAACCTCAGCCTAACTTGCACAGACTGGCTAGACACAATAGATACTGACTCCACAGACATAGTCCAGTCCATAGTGTTCTGCATCAGACCATCCGTCCGATCGGCCCCATTCTCGGTTGACTTTCCCTGAACGAGAAGAGCAACACGAGGTCAGGTGGTTCTTGGAGGCGCCGTGGGTCCGTTGGACAGGGCAATTTCTTCGTTCCCTGTCAGTAGGTGACACCAGCTATCTAGTTGCAAGAAAGTACAGAGCGAGACATCACAAAGTTTATGGCATTGCATATCTAGGCATCAGCTTACGACGTTTCTCAGCATGGCGATGATGTCAGATCAAAGCGCACATGATAAAATTGAGGTAAGCTTGAAGACGACGACGATACTGATGGCAAAGGGAACGAGACTGCTTGAGAATGATGAGGTTTAATCGACCTCTTGTTCGACAATGAGCTCTTGCAGTAATTAAAAGCCAAAGTTCCATTGTCACCTAAGGTAACCTCCATGGTTCACAGCGGGATGACCCTCCCGTCTGGATCCACTAGGTACCTTACACTGCGGTGGAGACAGTATCATGATATTATTCAAGGCATCAAAAGCCGTGAAACTCAAACACTCAGGGTAAGGGAAATGCACCAAATGAAGAATGTTGGGATTGTATGGGGTATGATGAAAATTGGTGTCTGGCCAGCAGAGTCTAGACTCTGACCCACGACAGCTGCAGCAGCAAATATTGAACATTCCCCTAATTAGAATGGGCGATGACTGATGAACACTAATTATTTATGTACATACAGGATTAGTCGAATGCATAAGACAACAAAGAAGACCAGGGATTACTTTAGTCTCCGCTCTCTGACGGTGGAGCCTGTTTCACCACCACATTCTTGACTGTTGGTGCTGATTCCCATCGTCAAGGTCATCTGTCCATCTTGTTGCCCTCAGCATGGACGATGGCGTTGCCCGAGGTCGACGCCTCTCGGTACTTGTAAAATAACCGGGCGATTTTGACTTTGGACTTGCGAGTCATTTCGCAACTAGCGAAGTGTACTGTGTAGCACAAGTTTCCAATAGGATTGCCATAACCCAGAAAATTCTTGGTAAATGGCACTACTGTGTGTGATTGGAAGAGATTTCCCGCGCTATGGTAAATCTCCGGCTTTCCTGAAAGAGGTATCCCGCTCACCTGACACACACCAATTTCCTAGTTCAGACAGATTGGGGGCTCACTGGGAGTCTGTCACTGACTCGGTGCATCAAGAGAGGGAGATGGAGCACTTGATACGGTATTGATTCTTTGTACCCGGTACACTAGGGACAGATATCTACTACTACGACTAGTCCATCTCCTCGAGCCGGTGTTCCGATCATCATGATCACCAAGCTTAAATCCCTTACAAGGCCACCATAGGAGAAAAAGAAACACTTGGTTTACCGTAAAATCTACCCCTGATAACAATGTAACCCCGCGGAAGGAGTAACGATGAGAAATCAAAACAGTATTTCCAGCCTCTCAAGCTTCCTCGGGCATCTTCCAGTTCGTCCGTAGACAGACAAAGTTTTGAGGTGGATCAACAGGCCATCAGCCGGTTTGACTCCCAACTTCCCAAGCCATAAAGCAACAGGAGGCCCAAGCACTCGGAAACAATACCACCCAGCTATGGAAGCGTGGTCTTGTGCCCCATTCCCTTCAAATGAGGCCTTCCTTTCCAGGCGAGAAGAGAGGACAAGTTGATGAGAGATCGAGTGATCGCTGGAGATCAGTATGTAAGTTACTCGGTTTCATGTTTGCCTAGAAGGACGTAGTAACATGGAACTACGGTCACTTGTCAGAGTGTATTGACAGTGCAGGGGCGGGACTCGTCCGAACAATACCGGGATCATTCATGGCTAGAGCAAGGAACGGCGCGGAAGTACTTGTTAGTTGTTACAGAGTCATCAGTGGGGACTGGATCTGTCACCAGTCAATGAGTCAAGAACTGGCCGGGAATGGAGGGGAAAAGGGGCGCCTGTTTGTTATTTGTAGCGATGATTTTCTTTTCCTCGGAAGTCTGTGCGAGTCGATCTGGTCCCACTTTTCCCCAGATTGTCTGTATGACGAGGGAAATGATGCAGGAGCAAACACTTCATGCCTGGTTGGATTTCCAGAGCTCCTCTTCTGTGGATTGGTACCACACCTTGACCGCCATCGCGTCCAGAGTGGACCAAATAAGTATCAATTAACAGAGATGGATCTGGTCAGAAGAGACCACAGTCACGGCTGCATGATTTGACCAGAGGCTGGAGTCTGAGACAAAGCCAAAGTGGTAGCGTGGGGGAACAGCGCCTAGCTGAGCCTGAACCGTGTTCCGTCCTATTCTTGCTGGCATGCATGTAATTCTTAAGTGTTACTACTATTATCATTTAATTATCTAAGACGGAGATCGACGACGGTTGAAATCTACAGAGCAGAGAGCATCAATTTCAGATGATCAGGGCCATTGTAGACTTCACAAATCATAGAATGGCTTTGTTCTCGTTATTCGGGATCTCTCGTCCTTGGAAAAGGCAGGTAGGTTATTTGGCATTGAACCTACTCTGTATATTTATCAAGGCGTGACAAGCCGACTGCAATTTCCGTCTTCATTCCATCTAGGGTAGTCTTCTTATGGTGGATGCAGGGATGAGTCTGGGGAAACAAGGCCAGTTGCCAACCGAGATGCATCATATTCTTCTCGCAGCCAAAGACAGCGTCGAGGATCATCCGCCGTCGTCACCCGTGCATTTGGGATTTGGAACCGATCAAACGGACCTGCGAGCGTGGTTGTTTTCCTTATTAATAAATATTGAGCAATCTTTGCTTTTTCTTTTATTTTTATTTTTAAAATTGCCCATCTTCTTCTAAGGTTTTCCCTAACTTTTCCGGAGTGCATCTGATCCTCGCGATGGCTTTTTCTTGGGCTCCCAGGTTGCCTTGTTGCTTTTTCGACGGAGTACCCCCGTACCTATATTCCCCAATCCTCCAGTGAACCAATCAATTCCGTACATCCAACATGCTTGGCCGCCTGTTTCCCTCTTCTACAACAAACCCCCGTAAGTTTGAGTTTAGGCAGGCAAGGTGGAGAGGTAGAGAAGGTCAACGAGAAGGAATGTAGATCGTCTGTCATCTGGACAGTAGGGGGGCTCAGTACATCGTACTAAGGTCAGTTGACTGTTGGTTGTTCCGGTGGTCAGAGTTCATAAGAAGTTTACCAGTTCGGGCTGGCTTGATTTAAATAATAATGGATAGGTCTGGGTAGGTAGGTTAGGTAGTATTTGCCTAGTCTGAGCGGCCCCTCTCCACTGGGTTTCTGTACGTGCATACGAAGTACATTGACGGAGACACCCCATAGATTGAGCATGGAGTGATCCACGTCAGGACTGAGGAGTAGTAGTACGACTACTAACGAAACTTGCGCTGAGGATTGTCATTCTTGATGGTAGCTTTTAGGCATAGTTTCTGGCTGGTTACTTTCCTAGTCCTAGAGTTTGTTTTAAATGCCTGTAGCTACAGTAGTGGTCAGTAGGACTAGTCCAAATTAATTCTTTACTGTCTGCTCTCATTCCACGTTCATTAGTAGAAGAATATCGCTGAGGATTATCTGCCTCTGAGTGGTGAGGAAGTAGTATAATATACCTCTCAATCCACCCCCATTTCCCTCAGTCTCTCCCTTTCCTCGAGTCTTCTTTCTCTTTCTCTTGCTGGCCTCTTGACCCGTCGCTAATCGCAAAGTTGCTGACTTGCTGCTACTTAAGTAGCTCCTGCTCCACCTCTCATCCACTTTAGTCCACAGACAGGTGCACCCACATTGATCGCCTCCTGTCCCATCACCATCCACTACAACTACTGTCATCCTGTACGCCTACTACTAACTACGACTCCGACTAAAAGATCCAAAATGACTAACAATGGCCACAGCCAACTGTACGGAGTAGCTCGAATCCCCCAAAGGCTTCGACTTGCTGAGAGGCCACCCCCTGCACCCATCGCTGCCTCTCACCAGCCTTATTAAATCGCAGCCAAGTCGGCAGACTCCCCACTCACCAGGAAGTCCATCATTTAAAATTGAATAAACTTCTTTAACCTACATATTATTGAAGTTTTGATCCCATCCTACTGGCCCCATCTTACCACTAGGTGGTTCCATTCGAGGTTTCAAGGTTTCTTCTACCAACATACATACGGCAAATCCACCCTCCAAAATCGCCGGTCGCAAAAGCAGACTCGTGCTGTGTTGGATTGCCCCTCTTCTTCTTCTTCTTCTTCTTCCTCCTCCTCCTCTTCGCTTTCCTTACTTCACTCACATCTCACCGTCCAATATCCGTTGGTCCTTTTGTGACACAGTCCCTGGGGGGTAGCTGCGCCCTCGAACCGCAAGACATCATCCACTCCGGCGAAGGAAGCCAAGCGGATTTCAGGACTCCGTACCACCACCACAACCACCACCACCAACCTCGTCCAAGTTATATGCGGCCCACATTCTTTCAATGTTGTCCATGCAAAAGACGCCCACCTTCATCCTGCCCCCAACTGCGAATCTCAACAACCACAACCCTCATGGCATCCAACCCAACCCAACCGTGGACCATCGCAACTCCACCCGCGCACTGAGTTTGTCGGAAATCCCCGCCTTTCCCGATGGCCCATCCATGGGCGATGGTCTCTCCCGCCATGGAAGCATCAGCACCGACGGCACCTCCAACGATTCTCCCGAGTCTTGGGACGGGGAAAGCCACTCTGATAGCTCTCCCTCGGTCGACTATGAGATCAAAATTCACGACGCTTCGTACCCGTTTGTCGACTCGACGTTAGCCCCGCTCCCTTCCTCCTCGTCCTCTGCGACTGCCACCGCCGCCATGACAGCCGGGTCAAAACATTTCCAGGTTAACTACGTTACTTCTAATAATATGAATGTGTCCATGGCCGATGACGTGACCCCCAAGGTCGAAGAGATCGACGGTGCGGAGGACTTGCGGAGCATCAAACCCATCGAGGCGGAGAACGCGATGGCCTGTGCGAGCAATCATCCCAGTACTACGATACCCACGGCGGCTCCCGTCAATGTACCACGGAAACGTGGTCGCCCACGCAAACATCCGCTGCCAGTACCCGGGGGCCAGATCAAGATCACCAAGGGGAGATCCAAGACGGGCTGTATTACTTGTCGACGAAGGAAGAAGAAGTGCGACGAGACAAAGCCATCGTAATTCACCCAACCATTCACCCAGAGTGTTCGCATGCGCCGCAACGGTCAGCTAATTTTGTCTTCCAGGTGTTTAAACTGCCAGAAGAATGCGGTTGTGTGCGAAGGGTACCCTCCGAAGGAGATCTGGAAAAGTGGTAAACAGAAGATGGAGGACGGTAAGACCCTGGATCTCCTTGGAAGGTGGCTGATGGACATCTTGTTGACCCCTTAATCTTGAAATGCAGCGGCACGTACCAAAGCGCTCGCAGCTGTACCGCGCTCCCTACCTTTGCTCATCGACGGCGTAGAAACCGAAATCGACCGACGATTCCTTGACCATTTCGTCTACGGCTTCAGTCGTGTGCTGACATTAATCAACGATGACACCAATCCGTTCAAAGAAATCCTCCTTCCCATGGCCGCTCAACATCGAGGGTTGATGCACTCGCTCATGTGTCTGTCCGGTTCACATCTGTCGGCGTTCGATCCAGAGCCCATGCTGAAGGAGCGCAAATTCTACCATTTCCATCATGCGATTCAAGATCTCAAAGACAGCATCATGTCGTCGAGTGTCAAATCGTCGGGAACTTCCCAGGAGCCGGAGCTTTTGGTAGAGGATCCCATCATCGCATCGACCATCGCTCTCAGCCTCAACACGATCTGCGAAGGGGAGACTAAGGGCGAGTACAGGCCGCATATGGATGCGGCGAGGTATCTGCTGGTGACCCAGCAACCACGAAACGAGAAATTCCGGCAGTTCATCGTCGAGTTCTTCCAATACCACGACGTATCCAACTCAATCACCTCTCTGGACCGTCGCCCCGCCCTTCGGAGTGATGATCTAAAACTTCCCGACTTTGTGCCTCAGCAAGCCGGAATGTTTCTCGGCGTGTTCGACGGTTTGTTCAATTATATTTCCGATGTCACAAGGCTGCGCGATCGCATTCGGCAGCGATCAAACGATGGATACGAGCCTGCGGTTGACTACCAGATTCTGAGCGATGCCGTCTCGATAGATTCAGCCATTCGGGCATGGGAAACATCACATCCCCCGACACCCCAAACTGGTTCCTGGCACAGCTGTACCGTCAGTCGACATGGGTCTATCTGTACCGCACTATCCGGCCGTCCAAGCCCAGTGAGAAGATTGCTCAGGTCGTGGACGATGGTCTCGCCTACTTGGATCAACTGCCGCAAGATTCCGGAGCCTTTAGCATCGTACTGATGCCCTTGTTCCTCCTTGGTTGCTCGGCATTCCTTCCTCGTCAGCGAGAACGGATTCAGAAAGGCTTCGAGTCCCTCAAGGCTTACTCCAACCTGCGTAATATCGAACCCGCTTTCAAGGTGGTTCGACGGGTATGGGAGATCATGGACACCAAAACCGAAGACAGCTGGGACTGGGAGAAGATCATCAACGATATGAACATGGACTTCCTCATCACCTAGCCTTTGTTTCCCCGTCCGTCCTTGTGTTAGTCAATATTCCCTCTTGCATTCTCGTGAAGTGTGATGATATATGTATGTTAGTCATGATTTTCTTTCTTTCTCTTTGCTCTCTTCTGATCTGGGAGCATCCACCATGGTTGGGATGATGTGAGCACATATGGCGTTCTGTGATCAAACATCTGCATCGGGGGTTTTCTGAGGTTCAGCGGTAGGTTGTGGTCTGACTGTGCGGGCGATGTGAGGACGCCCAGCAAAGCACCGAATCGGTGTTTGTGGAGGTGTTTGAGCAATACCGTCCACTGAGGCATGGCAGGCAACGTCCATACTTGAAAACAAAAAAGGAGTCGGGGGAGGGTCCTCAAATACGGCTGTTCATTCTTTCTGTTGTTTGTATCCTTGCCTGTATCTGTATGCATTGAGTGTATGTCCTTGATGAGTTGCATTTCTCTGCTGATGTGATATCCGATTGAAACCAAGCATTCTTTCATACTGTTTTTCATCTCTAAAGTCTTATCTATCAGTTGGTTGATTATAAGGACAACTGATTTAATGCCGCAACATGTATACATGCGAGCACATTACGTATATATTCTTAAAACCTCCCCAAGCCAGACTATGCACTCTTGGGATTCTCTTGCTCCGCCCTTGTATCCCATTATGCAAGAAATTCTCGATTAGTGTTGGTGCATCGGACCGAATTGGACAAATTCCTGAATAGTTACTGGCATGTATCTGGGGCATCTACGGAGTACCAGCGATTTTATCTTCCGGATTACGAGCCAAAGGCTTAACAAACATTTCTCTCCATCCATCTACCCACCTATTGCCTAATTGAAACGTTGACATGCAACCAAGGCATACGTTAATATATATAAATAGTGGTCATGTGACATGAATGGTTTTGTTCTGGTCGCCATCATCTCAATGAGACATCGTTAAGGCGTCGTCAACCCTCACTATGAATATCACAAAACATCCATCATCGCATCAGATTATCTAAAATTGACACTTCGATGTCAGATTATCAGATCTTGACAAGACAAGAATGACCGACCTCAGTTGGAGTGGGTCGGACGCTAGAACTGCAGGCAATGGAACCCATAACCGAATGGCTCTTCTTATCAGACTGCGAAGATGACGTCCCTCGAGTCCGACTAGTAAACCGTCACATGCTTGGTATGATCTCGATAATTGATCTGAGAGCTGGCCTATTCGTCACAAGTTACGAGAATAATAAACTAACACCCGGTCGAATCTACCAGAGACCTGCTCTAAGCGAAGCACTAAGATCACGGGACGACTCCATCCTAGCCGTCAGCAGCCAATAATGGCAAAATCTCCGGCCGTTTTGGGTCCAGGCGTTTCCCAACTCCAGCTAAATTGAATGAGCCTTGTAGAGGCACCCCAAGCACCACGGAGCCTAAATCCGACAACATGTCTTACCCCGTGTTCTTGGCCGTTGGGCCAAATTCTCATCGTTCGTGCTCGAACGAGGAGATCTTGCTTGCTTGCTTGCTTGTTTGACTGTGGTTGCCCGTGATACAACAGAATCTGGCTCCTTGTGCTGTCTTGCCGCAGTAAGCCTGTTTCAGGCAATGAGCCGTGCTCAGTGCTCAGCATGGAGAAAGATGACGATCTGATCGCGGAGCTCAAAGTCCCCGAAGACCTTGTCTTTGCTGAGGGATTACAAGACCAAACCGCGACGTTCAACCTGTCCCTCCGCGCCGTTGACCCAGTCGATGTATGTGTTGAGGATCTATCGCTCCAAGTTGATACGACGCGCCCAGTATGGGAGACCCCGCCGTCGCAGATATGGCATCGGCTCTGCGGGAAGAAGGTGGACACCCGCACGCACAAGACTGTCCTCGACAGCGTCGATGCATTCATGCCTAGTAAGAGTCTTACGGCGATTATCGGTAGCAGTGGGTCTGGCAAGACATCGCTGCTCAACATAATGGCTGGTCGGATGAGCTTGACCAAGGCGAAAGTTTCCGGGGCCACTACCTTCAACGGAGTTGCGGGCATCGAGGGGATTCGCAGTGCATATGTCATGCAGGAGGATGTTCTAATCCCCACCCTGACGGTTCGAGAGACTCTGCGGTATGCGGCGGATCTGCGATTGCCGCCGCCAGCAACGCAGGAGGAGCGGCATCGGGTTGTCGAGCAGGTGATATTGGAGTTGGGGCTGAAGGAGTGTGCCGACACGCGGATTGGGACAAACACACACAAGGGTTGCAGTGGAGGGGAGAAAAGGCGGACGAGCATCGGCGTGCAGATGCTGGCGAACCCCTCGGTGTGTATCCTTCAGATCACTGAAGCCAAAAAAAAAAAGAGAACAACAAGGAAGAATTCTAATTCGTGCAGGTCTTGTTCTGCGACGAACCTACGACGGGCCTGGATGCAACGAGCGCATTCCAGATCATCCGGACGCTGAAAAGACTCGCGGAGGATGGTCGAACCGTCATCGTTTCGATTCATGCTCCCCGCTCTGAGATCTGGAGTCTCTTTGACAATGTGATTCTTTTGGCGCGGGGATCGGTGCTTTACAGTGGGCCCCTTCGGGACTCTTTGTCCCATTTCGAAACGTGCGGTCATGTTCTGCCGCCGTTTGTGAATCCAGCTGAATTCTTGATCGACCTTGCGGCCATTGATAACCGGACGGAGTCGCTCGAGGCCGCATCGATGGCCCGAGTGGAGCTTCTCAAAGCTGCCTGGAAGTCTCGAAGCTCTGAGCGGAAACAGATCGAGAAGCCTGGGCAGGAAAGGAAGACGTCGATGGCGTCCGGTGCAGTTACATCCATAAACAAGGCAGCTTCCTTCCGTCAACAATTCCGTGTTCTGACCTCTCGGACATTCACGACAACAATCCGAGACCCTCTCGGCGTGGCGGGAAGCCTTCTGGAGGCCGTGGGAATGGCTGTCATCAATGGCTGGATCTTTTTACAGCTTGATGAGAGTCAAGCTGGTATTCGATCGAGACAAGGCAGTCTGTATACCGCAAGCAGCCTCAACGGATATCTGGTCCTTCTCTATGAGACGTATCGTCTGACAATCGACATACGTCTATTCGATCGCGAGAGAAACGAAGGCGTCGTGGGTGTCCCGGCCTTCTTGCTGAGCAGACGTGCAGCGCGCCTTCCTCTAGAAGACCTGCCTGTGCCTATTATCTTCGCAATTATATACTACTTCATGGTCGGATACCGTCTCAGCGTGGACCAGTTCTTCATCTTCTTACTTCTGACCATCCTCACTCACTACATTGCTGTCACCTTTGCCGCCGTCTCCATTGGCGTCGCTCGCAGCTTCCCCGGTGCGAGTCTTGTGGGCAACCTTTCGTTCACACTACAGTCTTTCGCGTGCGGGTACTTTGTACAGTCGAACCAGATCCCTGTGTACGTGAGGTGGCTAAAATGGGTGGCATATACATTCTACATCTTCGGTGCCCTGTGCGCCAACGAATTCATTGGTCCTGACGGGCCGCCAGAGGGCCAGTTCTACGATTGTCCCTATTCAACCGACCCATCGAATCCCGCGTGTACGCAATACACGGGCCGGTATATTATGGAGAACCTGGGGTTTCCGTCAAACTGGATATGGCGGCCAATTGTGATCCTCGTGGCCTTCGTTATCGGTCATTATCTGCTTGCTGGCTTGCTGCTCCAGTACAATCGTTTCGCCATTGACATCGCACAAGCCCGGAAGACCGATGTAGACCTGTCTGCGGGTAAAGAGAAGTTTGCCGAACGGCGCCCCGATGAAGCTCGTCCTGTCACCATCTCGCTGGACAAGTATGCCTTGGAGATCCGGAAACGCCAGGTATTTCGCCGGGGATCGCGGACGCTACCCATCCTCAAACCCATCACCGCTGAATTCCAGCCGGGGAAATTGAACGTCATCATGGGCCCCTCGGGTAGTGGGAAGACATCGCTGCTCAACTCTATTGCACGAAGGTTAAGAGGTTCCTTGGGGACACAATATCTGCTGCAGGGAAACATACTCTACAACGGTGCTGTGCCTTCAGAGAGCGTGATCCGGTCGGTGACATCGTTTGTCGCACAGGATGACGACGCGTTGATGCCGTCGCTGACGGTGCGCGAGAGTCTGCGTTTCGCAGCTGGCCTGAGGCTGCCCCAGTGGATGTCGCGCGAGGAGAAGAACCAGCGAGCAGAGGAGATCCTCCTCAAGATGGGATTGAAAGAATGCGCGGACAATCTGATAGGTAGCGAGCTCATCAAGGGCATCAGCGGCGGAGAGAAGAGACGAGTCACCATCGCCATTCAGATTCTAACAGACCCGAAGATTTTGCTGTTGGATGAACCTACTAGCGGCCTCGATGCCTTTACAGCCACGTCGATTATTGAAGTCCTCGAAGCGCTGGCAGCCGAGGGTCGCACCCTGATCATGACCATCCACCAGTCCCGGTCGGACCTGTTCCAGCACTTCTCGGGTGTCCTGCTACTGGCCCGAGGAGGATATCCTGTGTATGCGGGCGAGGGCGAGAAGATGCTCCCGTACTTCCGGTCCTTGGGATACGAGTGTCCCAAGACCACGAATCCTGCCGACTTTGTTCTGGACCTGATCACGGTCGACCTACAGCAGGAAGATAGAGAAGCGCTGACCCGCGAGCGTGTACAAAAGTTGATCACTAGCTGGGATAGTCAACAACCAGGTGTGGCCCGCCGCCCGTCACAGATTGCGACTCCGGCGGAACTTGGAAGCTTGAAGAGACGCATGCTTCCCTTTCGGATCACGTACCCGTTGGTGCTGCACCGTGCCGCGATCAATTTCTGGCGCCAGCCACCATTGGTGATGGCTCGCTCAATGCAGGTGGTGGGGATTGCGATCATCATGGCTCTATTCTTTGCTCCCCTAAAGAATGACTATGTTGCGGTGCAATCGCGGATGGGGTTTATCCAGGAGTTTGCTGCGTTGTATTTTGTCGGTGAGTCTCGTCCGTTATAGTCCAACGCGTCAGGTTCATAAATGCTAATGAGATAGGGATGCTGCAAAACATCGCCATCTATCCAAACGAAAGGGACGTCTTCTACCGGGAAGAAGCGGACCACTGCTACTCTGCGGAGACTTTCATTCTGCAGTACACGACGCTAGAAGTACCCTTTGAGGCGATCTCCTCAATCATCTTCGGGGTGCTCGCGGCCTACGCGGATAACCTAGAACGCAGTCCTAGGATGTTCCTCATCAGCGCATTTAACTGCTTCTGCATTATCAGCTGCGGCGAGTCTGTCGGAATCATGTTCTGCACGCTCTTCTCGCACGTCGGATTCGCCGTCAACGTCACGTCGATTCTGCTGTCTATTTCCACCATCCTTGGTGGCGTGATGAGCCTGAACGTCAACGACGCCCTGCAGGCCATCAACCACCTGTCACCGATCAAGTACTCGATCGCCAACCTGGCGCCGTACGCGATGCGCGACCAGCATTTCACATGCACCTCGTCGCAGCTCCTGGCGAACGGGACCTGCCCGATCCAGACCGGGCAGCAAGTGCTGCAGCTCTACAATCTAGATAAGAACGCGCCGATGAACGTGATGGCGCTTGGCGTCTGCACGATCGTTTACCGATTGGTGGCGTTTGCGATGCTCAAGGTGATGCGTGAGGGATTTTGGCGCCGCCTGCGGTAGACTTGACATCATCTTTGTATCTACCTAATCATTGTTCTTGAAATCTCAGGTCGTCATTGGTAGTAGGGAACTCGCCAATGAGAAACCATTGCCAGCAAAAAGAACTCTCGGGATGACTTCTACATTCAGACGCGTAGACGATACCTGAAAGAGTAGCGTATCCATAATGCGCAGCGAAAGTCTAGACCACAGAAATCCCGAACAGGATCGGGATTTCAAGGAACGGTGTGGGACCTCGCTGCACCAGTCAGACAGTGATCGCGTCGGTGCGCTGCTTATTAACATGTCCAGAATGGGAGGATCAACCTGGTTCCCTCCAACTGAAGGAAAAATCTGAAGGGAATAATTATCAGGCATCGAGGCAACAATTCCCCATACTGTCCAATCAGATCTGATAGTTGCATAAGGTTAGTCGGCAATATGCTTATTTAAGCACTGACCGTCAGCGACGCTGATCATTGGGCGGAGATGATCCACATAGAAAACCATTTTTGCGCCCTCTCACTGGTTCATATCCCAACAGAGCCAATGGGAATAGAGTGCTGGGGGGTTGTCCCACTGTGGCGCTGGTGTACGTAGCCAGTCTCCATTACTCCGTATTGCTTGCAGACTGCAGACTGCAGACTCCAGTTCAACCTTCCATGCTATGACATGGTCTGGCCCACTGCCCTGTCTTGCTTGCGTGTTTGGGTCTTAGCTGGTAGCCTGGGATGCCAACTTTCATTCTGATGTGATCAGTGTGACGAGAGCAGCGCAGATAGTTTGCAGAGTTGAGAACTCTACTGGAAGCAACTTTTTTTAAGAAATTTACCAGGAAGTGAGTAGTTTTGTTGTAGTCATAATATTCACAAGTCTATAGTCTATTCTAATGTTTCTGTACATCCAAATCCAATCCAAGATCCATATATGACTTTTTTCATATATCGTATAGCATAAACAAACATGAATCGTAGCGCGTCACTCGACCTGTTCGACAGGGAGAGAGTAGCTAGCACTCTATATATGACAGGTTGACAACGAGAGAATCAAACTCAACCAGGAGTGAGAGAGTGTCGTGTCCCAGTGTTTGATGACAGAAGAAAAAAAAGGAATAAAGAACAAAAGCTCCACATGTTCAGGGCCTCAATTGCATCAAGCAAGAGTGAAGGTGACCAAGTGACCAGTGGCCGGGTATAGTTGTATTGGTGGTCGTCGGCTCGCCGACGTTTATTGCTTGCTTTTCTTTGCTGGCGCTCTCGCTGGCGATCTAGTTGCCAATGTTCAGGACGAAAGAGGTGGCGATGGGGCAGCCGTGGGTGGCATGGTCGTCCTTGGGCTGCAGGTAGGCCTCGGCGCAGGCAGTGTCGCCGGCCTTGCAGTTGACGGAGGGGCAGTCGCCGCTGGACTGGGAAGGCTCAACGGTGAAGCCGAACTTGGAGAACTCGGAGTCGGAGCCCATATCGATGCAGGACATGTCCCAGAAGATGGTGTCGCCGGACTGGGTGTACTCGAACTGGAGGACATCGGACTGGTCAGGCTTGGTGGACAGCTTGATGGAGACGCCGCCGCCGTTGGAGTTGGTGCGCCATTGCTCGGAGTAGGAGCCGCCGTCCGCAGAGAGGGTATGCATGTCGCTGACACTATCAGCGACCGACCACGCGTAGACGGTTTGGCTCAGCTTATTGACGATCTGGACGCCGCCTCCAGAGGCGGAGGATTCGCCGCTGCGCTGGATGACATGGGGCAGGGCAGTGGAGAGGGTAGCAAAGGCAGCAGTGAGGAAGGCCTTGGTGAACATCATTTTGACTGAGGATGTAGAGACTGAAGAGATTGTTCTTAAAGAAGAAGACGGAATTGGTCTGTTCGACAGACAAGTGATAGTGGTAGTCAAAGATTGACAAGAGAATGAAGCAGTCGAATTGACTGAAAAGAAAGTAATGTCACTGGGACAAAGAGAAAGACAACTGAAGAAGAGAGTGTTGTTTGATGATGAAGGAAGCCAGAACACCAGTCGCGACAAGGGTTTATATAGCTTCAGATGGGATACCGGAGGCAAGCCAAATTGCCCATTTTGGGGTTAGTCAGGGTCGGCGACCAGATGGCAAACTCTCAAGTATGGATTCGGTAGGTACCACCAGCACATGAGAGGTGAACCAGAAAGTCGAGCCAACGTGGTTCTAGGCGCCTGAGCCAGGGATCAATCACACCTGGGTCCATCCATCGGAGGTTCGCACCCTAGAAGCCTGAAAAGAAGGGGAAGAGAATGAAAGAACCCCACTGCATCCATGGCCACTAAAGAATCCTGGGGATAATTGGCTCAAGTTTGCAAGTACCTGACCTTGTTACACTTGGTTCGATGACTGAATTTATTATCATGAATTCAGGGCAGACTTTTGGGGTCCCTGTCAATCTCTTGCAGCCAGCCAATCAGCCATCGCGGCAACAGCCATATCTGCACCACTAAGCGAGATATATGCAAGTTAATGCCGCAACGATCACTTCAATTTGACCTCATCCAATGTATGACACATATGACACTGTACAATGAGCTGGAATGTCTCAGTCGACATTGATTATGCAGTTGATCTTAATATCACGTCTATAATATAATGTAGCTCTGCTTGTTAGCTGCCTGACGCCAACACCAACACCCCGCATAAAGGCAGTAAGTAGCACATGGATTCCCATATCCAGCTCCGCTGACCCCATTCCCAAACCTCAAACTCTGCCGAGCCCCAGAAAGGAAGAGAAAAAGAAGAACCGGATGACGTGAACTATGGTTCGGCAACTTAGTTCCCTTTTTCTGGGACGCAAAAAATCTCTGGTCTTTGAGGGTATTCCCATGGGTTGGCGAAGTCTATTTGATCCTTTGCCAACGCTTTGTGGATGCGTGGCATTTTGAAAAATTTCGTAGGCATAAATTTTGTATGACTAAAAGCGTGGCAACATGCCTAACAGCCAGACAAAGTGCGTGCATATTACTCCGACTTCGCCAACTGGTTGTTTGGTTCCGATGAAGGCAAATCCCTCAACCTTGGCACCTCAGGAAGACGAAAGAGAAAAGTTCTCTACGCAGTTTAAAACTCTTTCAGTCCCTTTGTCAGCATCCTTGCTGCTTTTGGAGTCTACCCCGAATACACTTAGTTTGGCGCGAAGAACAAACTTCAACACTGTTCTTTCACATTCTTTTTCCCATTTTGCTGACATTCAGAACCAAATAAACAGTACCCCTCGTACTCTGAATGAAAACTCTTATGCTTACAAAATAGCCAGAGCTTCTGGTCGAGATTGACATATGCCGACGTAGACACACCTCCATCTTCCAGCCACTGATGTGCGATGCCAACTCCACTGCCCCAGTTGGAGTCGCGCAAACGCCAATTATCTCCTTCTCAGAGTCTAAAGAGGGGATCCAGGGCTCCAGTTCCTGAAAATGGAAGAGTGGAGGACTTGAAAAGGGTCCCTTGTTCTCTGCCCCTCCGACCCCCTCCGACCCCCTCCAGCCCCTCTTTCACCGAGCGCAGATCCCGCGTTCTAGAATCCCACTCCATCATTCTAGGCTTGGTTGCTTTGGGTCCAGGCGTAGGGCCAAGGCTCATAACTCTAACTGTCTCTTGCGTACTCAAAAGAGACGCATGTAAGCAAAGGTAACAGGTCCGGTGGTACGGTGAAAGTGGTACATTGGCGTTTGGCTATACAAGTAGGAAACAAAATCTGGTATACTCGCATGAACAGAAAAGAAAATGAATAAGACAAAGGGAGATCCTTGCCTCGGATGGATATTGACTACTGGCCCCTCCCAGCCAACATCGCTTACGATAGAGGCACACAGTCACACTACGTAGTGCCAATCACCAATATGGGGCCCGCAGTCCGGCGAGACTGGACAAGGTTCCCTCCCCCGCTGTATCCTCGCGCTTCCGGTGCCCCGCCAGTTCCAAGTTGATTTGTCGGTGGATGTGCACCAGCCAGTCCACATAGCTCTGCGCCTCATTGTTGCGATCCTCCAGTAACAGTCGCGCAAATTCGTACTCGGCCCCGTCCAATCCCTGCCGTGCCAGCTGGATAGCCACCGCCTTCGATCCTCGGATAGTCGACAAGTACTGTAGCAGATTGCGCACTTGCGCATTTAGGTGTGTCTCCAGCACCGGTAACGACGAAAGCTGCGGGTTGAGCTCTTGCAGAGACGTTTGCCCGGGTCCAAACAGATCCTCAAGTAGGTTGGGGGAAACTTGTGAATGAAGCCATAGTAAAATCATCTGGCCGTTGTCTACCAGGTACGCTCCGCCTTCCTCGATCTTGGAGTAGCTGGCGCGGAGCGCGGGTGGTACCTGTAATTGTCCCTGTTCGTTCGGGAACCCATCCTCCGGTTGCATGTTGTGGATGGGGATGATCCGGGGATACAGGTACAGTGACAGCTCTGTGCATCCTATCGATCGTAGCATCCGAATATCATGAATCCGCCGGTCGGACGATTCCTGGCCACCTAGTTGCCCTGTTAGCGGCCAATTCATAAGTTGCAACCGTAGCATATAGCTCACCCTTGAACGCCCTCGATTTGATCATGCTGAGCATGTACATGGAAAACTCCTTGAGATTCTCCGGTAACACGAGCTGTCCGGGAGGGTGCGACCCTGAAAAGATCTTGCGGTATCCGCTGAAAATATCCACCGTCTTCTCGGTGATGCTGGCCCGGATGTCTTTGAGTGGTTTGTCGAGCGTTTTGGCCGCCGCTGGCAGGACATTAGTATGCGCTTGTCTCGGAACCCTTGGTCTGTGTGCTGGGAAACCCACCTTCCTTGGCCATAATGCTGACAACTGCGTCCTGATCAACAAACTTCATCGTCTCCAAGCCTCCTTCGTTGACAGCTGCCACCGTGTTGATGCACCGCACCCGACGCTGCCCGTTGGCGGAAGTGTACAACAACGCAGCCTGGAAGTGAGCATCCAGCTTGGGATCCAGTTTGCCATCGTAGCTGAAGAGAACACCAATTGCCTTGTCTGCATCAATGGCTCCGATCTCGAGGTCGGCTCCAAACGTATGCTGCACAAAGTTTCCGTGATAGGCCGATACCTGAAGACCGTTCGAGCAACGGACCTTCATCAGTGCCTGGAAGCCGGTGTCACGGGTGACTGAATGCGCCAGCTCCTGGGAGAGTTTCAGGAGGTCGCGCGGAGCATGGAAGTTGGGGTAAAAGAATGTCTCGCCGCCGGTGACCTCGGGGACATGTCCTGATAGAATTGTCAGCAGAACACCTCATTTCCAGGCAAAAGAGACATACCGATCGTGGCAACGTCCATATAAGTCCCGTTAGGCGCCGCGATGAACATGTCCACACCAATACCAGCTCCCGCCAGTTTACTGGCTGTCGAACTCCATGCTGCATTCTCTGTGGTAAACAACTTCCGTTCCGCATCCGTCCCATGGACCTTGGGATCTTCCCGCCGCACCAAAGCCCCAGGGCCCCAAGTGGGCAAGGTAGCCACGGCACAGATGATTTTCCCTCCTGTGGCTTGTAGAGCGGAGAGAGCCGCATTCAATGTTGGAAGCAGTGCAGGCTCAGGCTTCTTACTGTGGGCGAAAATCTTCGGAATCTGATGCAGCAGACCAGTAATTACGTCCCTAGGAAAAAAGTCGGTCAGTCGCCTTGAACGAATTCTGCAGATTCAGGGGTCGCACTTTGATTCATAAGGATCCACGAAGAGCCCCTCGCTCAACGGCACAAACGGTTCCTCAAGGTCGGTCATCACCATCATCTGCGGTCCGTCAAGTTGTGCCTACGTTGGTCAGCATCCGCAGCAATCAACAGTGACCATAGGAACATACACTCAGATTGTAGAATTGTACTTCTCTGTCGAACGTGACGATACCAATCTTTGAGCCTTCAGGAATCCGTCGCGACGATGCTTCGTCCTCCGGATTTTCAGACCCTTCTGTGCCGTACAGAGCCTCCATGATACCCTTGCAGATACCCTTAAGGAATCCTCGGCTGATTGCTTCGTGACTGACATCGATCAGGAACAACTGACGTAGACCAACAGGCTCCTTGTTCCAGTAATCCTTGGGCACCAAGAACTCGACTGTGCCCATCATCAATTCCGGACGTTGCATGCGGTCCACACGCGCTCCTGACGGATCGAGAGGGGCAAAGTACTCTGGAGGGACGTCGTTGGGAAACGTGCACATATTGCAGACGAACTTGTTCCCTCCGGACCTGAATGTCATGAACGGGTTGATGTATGTCCTGCATCTTCGGCATCGTGGAGGCCCAGCGTCTCCAAAATCCAAAACGGGAATGGGCTGCTCACCCGGATCCAGTCGGGCCAGCGGCTGCAGGATCATCCCGAGAGGCAAGCCGGTAGAGGACAGAAAGTCGGCTGTAGATGGAATATTATTTAGCGTAAGTCGAGCATACTTCGGCGACGAATTGCCTTGGTCGTGGGCCACGAAGGGAATCGCAGCCGGGGGAGGAAGATGCCGTTCCATAGTCGGATAGACGTGGTTGAAATAGTACTGCGCAGGCAGGTCGCGCGACCGAGGAATGCTGGGAATCTGTTCCGGGTCAATCTTGCCCTGAGTTGCGACTGAGCCAGCGCCAAAACTCGCACCGGCTCCACCCCCTACGCCGGCGGGCTGAGCAACACCAGCACCGACACCTGGCGAGATAGGACGCGGAGAGTCGGCAAGTCCGGTATTCAGGAACTGCGATGTTGGCTGTACACCTCCCTGAGGCATTCCAGCAAACGGCCCTTGCGCCGGGGCAGTGGCAGAAGCTCCGCCAATATCATGGTGTGCATGTCGATGCTTCTTCTTGTGTGTCCGAGCCCCTCCTTCCCCTGAAATCCCCAATCCACCCATTTGATGTGTCAGCCCTCCCAAACCTGGTTCAGTGGGAGCTACCATCCCGGCCTGCGGGCCTGCATTGTAGCCGAATGGAGGAGGGGAGGCCAGATGCGGGGGTTGCTGCGGTTGTTGCTGTAAAGGAGATGGCGAGCCGTAAGGGGGCCATTGATTCGGAGCTGCTGCCCCGTAGGGAGCTCCTGGTTGAGGAGGAACAGCTCCAGGTCCATAGCCGGCAGGAGGATGAGACGGAGGAGGAACTTGGTGGGCCATCCGACTGGGATCGGAGGGGTCTTCAGGAGGCGCAGGTCCCTGGCCGACAGAGTAATACATTGATGGGTCTGCCATGCTGCTTCATAACGCGGATACCGTGGGACTGGGAGGAGAAAAGGGACGATGGCTGATCAGTGCATCAATCTGTGGAGCACGAGCAGTAATTTCAGACGC